ATGCATTTTGGTAGACATTTTTCGGAAGGCCATTGGACACACTTTAATTCTAGAATTTAATAAATAGCTCTTCCTATTCAAAATTTTTAGAAAATTTGAAACTAAAATTTGCATTTCAAAGAAATTTTGAAATGCCCTTGTTTTCGAGCAAAATATTTTTTTTTTTCAAATTCGATCTAAAACCATTTCAAATCTAAAAACTATGGATTGTTAAAAGTGTTTGTTTGACAGAAACATTATCGGTTACGTCAGAATGCCGCCATATTGAATTTACAAAAATACCTTCTTACGCCGCCATCTTAGAAACAAATCCAAGTTGTGATATGTCATTAGAAAGGGAATTTTAAGCTCTATTCAACTGTGCAAAAAAATATACAGGGTTCTATGAAAATTTCTTGACTTGGGTCCATTTCCGGAGTAACCGGAAGTGATATTCAATTGTTTTTTTACGAAAAATGTGCGTCTCAATAACTTACCCGTTCCACCCCATTTTCAAATTTTTAACTTTAAAGACAACTGAATGACGCCGCTTGTATAACGATTCCGTTGTCACCCGGTATATATACATATATTGACTTGAAGTAAATTAATAAATATTAAATTCGATTATAAACTGCTACACCTATTATAAAATGACATCATTTTAAATTTGTTTAAATTCTCAGAAATCTCAAGGGTTTTCGGAAATATAACAACCCTAGTTTACTATCATCTGATTGCAGATTACTTCTAATCTGGGATGAGTTGTTCGACATTTCTGAACGCAAATCATTTATATAAGGTATTTCGAACCTAAACTAACTTTTATAGTTTGAAATGTTTAAAAAAAGTGACGAAAACATATGATAAACTAACCTAAAATACCAATCAGCTGCTAAATAACGAGAAAAACAAAATCAAAACACCGGGATTCACTTAAACTCCGGTACAAGTGCGTCATATCGATGACGTCATCAAAACTACTGGTAAAAAATATGTTACCGGTACCGGGATTCTAGACACAGCGAAAAAAGTTTCGCCTCTGGCGGTACGTTGCGACACTTGATGATTTTCCCGTCATCCATTACCCCCCCCCCCCCAGAAAATCATGTATGGACCGCCACTGGAATACCGTCTGGCGATTTTTCAGCGTTATTTTCACAACCAAGTCTTTTATTCTCTAGATTGCCAGACAAAATGTAAACGCGAAAGGTTCTTTTCTTTTCTCTTGGAAATTGACACCCATCCCCACTTTTTCAGCTATTGAAAAGCATCTGGTATTTTTCATGGGTGAATTATTTATCAATGTCAATTTTTTATTTAAAAGCCAGAAAATTTGAGATTATTTAAAAAAAAAAATTCATGTAAATCAATATTTTTCTCCTGCAAATTTTCGAACGGGAGGCAGGCATTAAAATCACCCATATTCTCATCAGCTTAGTAGTCACATTCATGGCCATTTGCACGGCTAGCACTTAAGGGATACCTATTTATTTTAAGTAGAGCTTTGAATGTGACTTTTGTTTCTACAAGAGTCACATTCAAAGCTCCACTTGGCTTAAATATCCCTTAAGTTATAGCGGTGCAAATGAACGTCAGCCCTCAAAATGCCAGACAAAAAAAATTACTTCACTAAACAGCCCTTATCTCACAGTCTATTACTGATTTATTACTGGCTAATGCGGCAAGTTTTTGAAATCCACAATGGCATATGCGCATTTTCACCGATGTAATGCTGTCCTTGTCATTTGACAGCAGCAAAACAAGGATAGGTTACTCATCAAGAGAAATGCGCATAAACAATAGACCTATCTATTTTACCAGACAAAGAGGTAATAATACGAAAACTTTATTAGATAGAAAAAGACGCAGAACGCTCATTGCGCAAGACGAGGCAGAACGTACCAAATTATGTTAGACTTACGTATAGCAATCCGTTCTTATTATTTGCACAGGATAAAAAAGGAAGGAGGAAAACCGGTGACTTGCAACGTATTTGTCAATCAAAAACACAAACAATTGAAAATCGATCACTTGTCAAGGCTACGTCAAGTTTGAATATCAAACATAATTTTATCCTTGTCAGACCACGGGCAATGAACAATGACAAGGAGATACCCAGCGTGCAAAACGATTACTTCACACCTGTACTAGTTAGCCAATAAAAATGCATTGCCTCGTGTTGCGCGCGCATACAGGTAAAAATAGATAGGTCTATTGGTGAATTCAAAAACTTGGCTTTACTTGAAGAATTCTAAACCTTAATAGGATGGCTTATCTAGCCATGTCTACGCGAAAACTCTTCACTATTTGTGTTATTTGTGACCTCAACCTTGGCGTAAAATCCAAAATCTTGAAGGACCGAAGGAGTGCGACCGCGAACACACACAACTACGTATTATTTGTTGTCCTTGTCTAGTCAACACGTTATTAAGTATATATCGATCGTTTTGATAAGTTTGCTAGGTTCATAAAATCTGTCGCTAAGAGGTGTGTCGCATTGGCTTCCTCTCCCCCTTCAGACGTCGTCCGTCATGATCCGTGCTGTGGACTTCAACAAAGGCTCGTTCTCATGGAAACGCTGCTCCCCTGTTTCAAGAATAAGAACCCTAGAGGTCATTCCAGGTAATGGAACAAAACTCGCCGATCATGGAGCAAAACTCGGAGAACAAAATGCGCCTATAAAAACTCCAAAATTTTCACCCGTGTTGCTAGGAGCGATTCCTGGGAGCTGCGTAGTTCATTCCAGAGCCGCTTTCGAGTACAGTGTGTGAAGCATCTGGAGCATTTCACGCTCATTATACTCGATGCGCTTTGCACTTGAACGCTTGACATGTTCAAATTTAAAAAATTTCATCGGGGGGGGGGGGGGGGGAGCTAGGAGAGATTTTTGGGAGCTCTGCAGGTCTGTAATAGAGCAAAACTCGCCGATTATAGAGGCATAATAAACACACCATGATAAACACATCCAGTTAGTGTTTATCAACACCCAATCACCCCCTTAACGAAGGCTATCAAAATTCATTACATGATCAACATAACTATTGTAGAGGAAAAGATATTCCTTACCTGGTACAAGCCTATAACTATTTCTTTCTCTAGAGAAACAAATTAGAAAAAATTGAAATACTGCCATATAGCACAACTTTATGAAACACAAATAAGAAACATCTGTACTATGAATGTGAATATTGGAAAGAGGGACCTTTCTGCAAAAATGGAATTTATTGCTAACACAGACAAATACAAAAATGATTCCTTATAAATTTATTACACTGATGGGTCAAAAAAGGTTTATAAAGCGGGTTTTGGTATTCATTGCCCTGCTCTGAACAATAATTTCAGCTCTAGATTGCCGGACGGATTTGATATCTGCTCAGCCGAAATAGTAGCCATGAACGCAGCCATCGTTTTCACAGTCAAAAAAAATATCAATAAGGTAATCATCTTCACAGACTCCAAATACAATAGACACCCTCAACAGAAATTTTATGAACCCAGACATGGACAGCCTGACATTGAAAACCAAAGCGCTATTAGTTGCAACATAATATGTGGCAGGCTACAACATCAAATTGCCATAGATTCCCAGTCAGGCTGGGATACCTGGCAACGAAACAGTTGACAAACTAGCTTACATAGGAAATAGGCTCACTGTCTCAAAGAACTTGCTGCTAAATAAAAATCAAATTTTGGCTCCCATCCAAGAGAAAATCTTAAAAGAGCACGAATTAGCGTGGAAAAACTCCCTCACACTTTAAGGGCTCTGGTATTCGCACATGCAAGATAGCTTACCTAGGACAACATGGTTCAAAAAATTCCCTTACAGACGACATATAACCATTATTACAAGAATGAGAACAGGACACTTCCTATCTAATGAGTATTTATTCAGGGTTTTGGGGTTTGGGGATCGTTTTCCACCACTTTTTTCTTGAAATTCGCAAAATTAAAAAAAAAAATTTTGACGTTGACAGCTGTCAAATTTTTTCGACACAAATCGATAGTTTACGTCGTGGAACTGCCTTGTACCGGGGTTTAATTTTCGTAGTTTTTATAGTAGAGCAGGGAAAAAGTCGAACATGTGTCAAATTTGACAGGTGACATCTGTCGATATCGCCAAAGTGTCGTGCGCCAAAAGTTTTATCCGAACGAACCCGTTCATTGTCAACTGATTTTAATACTCCTGACACTTCCTATCTAATGAGTATTTACATAAAATAGGCATAAAAGACTCCCCAAATTGTGAATGCGAACCAATGAACTATGCGGACAGATCGAAACCTTAAATTACATTCTCTGCGAATGTCCAATCAACAGAATAGCTGATTTTGATATGTACTGGCTGGCACATCATGAGGTCTGGTCATCCAGCACCTCTTTCAATCATCACCGTTTTGCGAAATTTAAATACTAATACAATTAAGACCCTAGGCCCGTATTCATAGTCGATGCTCAAGTTTGCGTCTTGGCTCAACTACGACTTGACGCCATATTTGCGTTTCCAAACAGCATCGATGCTCACAACTGTCAAAAATCAGAGCTTGAGCCAAGCACTCGTCTATGAATACCGGGCCTTAGTGTCTTTTCTCAATTACAATAAAATCAATTTGTAAGCTCTTCCAATATCTAAATAGGAAAGATCTCAACCAGGAAGCAGAATATCATTCACACAAAATTATTCATTAACATGAATAAAAATGTCTCTCCTAAAAGAACATATCCCACAAATTTACTTTCAGAAACAACAAAAAAGCTCCCAACCTGTGTTGTGTCCTCCTTTTATGTTCTGAAAACCTCAACTCACTTCCACAAGAATGCAAAAGAAAGCACCTAACGCCCAGATTCAAAGATTGATTGACAGCACTTTGACATAAGGTCGCTGATACAAAGTTTAAAGACTGGAATTTAATGCCTAGAACCAGACAGCTCTCTGGATATACACAAATGTGCTGGCAAATTGTTGGCCCTACTTGGAGCAGAGCCAAATAGCAGTTAAACTTTCTTGTACTCATTATAAAATATATTATTTTTCTGCTCTTATATCTATGTTTGTTTAATGGTAATCTATTAAAAAGTACCACCTGTTATTTGGTGCTTATTCCATAATAATTAACTTGAAACAACATTTCACATTTTCTCCGAAAGTTTTAAGAAGTAAATTTTTAGCTTGATAACACTTCCTATTTCTAAAGGTCTAAAGTCTTTTTGACTTTTTCCTTAGTTTCTGGATCAACATTTTTAATTCCTTTTTTGTCATGACCTGGAACAATTTGAAAAAAAAAAATATATAGAAATTGTTTCCCTCAAAAATCTATTTTCATTAATAACCAATCAAACTTGCTCTGGTTCTTACCTAAAATTTTAGTTTCATTTGCCCTATATTGTTGAACGATTTCTTCCAAAGTTCTATCAGCATCCAAGACCAACACTGGAATAGTATTAAATCTTTGATCATCGGTCATTAACCACTTTTCATGACTGTCATGTAATTGTTTCAAATATTCAAATGACAATCCTGATTCTTCTGGCCTACCTCTGGATTTTACTCTTTCATAAACCACTTCAGGGGAGCTTCTTAGATAAACTAGGATTAAATTATAATTTTTTTTAAACGCCCCAGAAAGCTTCTACATTTGCTTACCAATCAAATCTAAACTAATATCAACATTAGCTCTGATCCATCTGTACCATTGATCTAAGACTGCATAATCTGCAGCATGAAGATATCCATTATCGTGAGCTTGTTCCATAAAACAAAATCTGTTATTCTGAATGGATCTAAAATTAAAAAGGATATTACTTATGATAATAACTGGAATTTCATAGTGTTAGCATTTATTTCAAAATCAGGGTACATTTTTTCACAACAATAGGTATAAACATTTGATGCTCAGTTATTAGAATAAGAAGTGATAGTGCTGGTGAAAATTTACAGAGAAATAAAATATGAAATTTCTTTAATAGGAGTATGTGTACCAATATGTATACCTACCAAACATATATTTGACACCATAAAATTCAAAGAATTCCTATTCACATATATAATAATACCTATAATAATATAGGTAATAACTTTTTTATATTTTAAAGTAAAAGTTGAAGTAAATCAGCGCTTTCGGCAGTGCTTTTGCTCAATGTTTATTTTCCGGACAACCCATATAGTACCTACTACTTAGTGCATGAATCACTAAATATTTCCACGAACTTTCATTCAATGCATGCATCTGTGAGACGCGAAACGTGGGGCGGCCTGCCGAAGGAAGGGCTAGATCCTGGACAATTTTGATATGAAAAATATCATAGAAAAATTTGCCGAAAAAAAGGCAAGAAAATTTTGTTGAATTACCAACCTTTTTTACGTCTTAATTTACCTTTTCCAGATATTTTACTTAGATGTTTTGTTTTTTTAGTTGTACGTTGTACATACATAATATTTTAAGATGTTATTACCCACACCTTTAATAATACATGACAAAATTATGAATTTTTGTTTTTTTTTTACAGAACCTACCTACTTATCCCTTTTAACGCAGGGCAAAAGTAAATATTTTTGTTTTTGTTTTTCGAAAAATTATTTTGGTCAGAAATTTCTAGAGAAAAAAATAAATTAAAAAAAGAATATATATTTTTCGAAATATTTTACGGGGCGAGGGGGCGGCCATTCCTTAACTCGCACCCGGCGGCCAAAAAGCTGGCGACCGACGGGCCTGCTGCCCTTTTCACTGTCCATAGTCCATGTCTATGATTACACGTAATGCTCTCTTCTTAAGGTTTAAAGTCAAGCCTATAGTTTATTACAGCAATGCGAGATGTCATTGCTGTCGCCCCTATAGTGTGCCCTAACTTAATAGTCAAAAAAAAAATAGAAATCTTCATTTAATTAAATTGTATGATGGAACGTTTTTTCTTTTTTTTTGCGGAAATTCGAAGTATTATTCTGTTTTACATAAACAGGGTTGTAATTTGAACCAACGCAAATAATTATTTTTTTTACTACTAACCTGAGAAATAGACATTATTCAATCTATTTTTCTAAGAAAAAGTTGAATTTCTCTCCCTAGGTTAATAATGAAAATAATGAAAAAATACCTAGGTCAATAATGAAAATGACGTCATGACTCAAGGATCTTGTCATGTTTCTATTGGTTCAATTTCAATTTCATGCGTCAATTTGAAAAAAATACAGGTTTCTGTAGGTACATAGGAAGTTATATAAGCTGTTGATAGAGGGCACCACTTTCAAGAGGGCGTTCACAAAAAATAATTAGAACACAGATTTTAAACAATTTTTTTTAATTTCTACTAGCAGTAGTAAAAAAAATTCTATATATTCCTCGGTAGAGAAAGTCATTATATACCTCAAGCATAAAAGCTTTTGGTATATAATGACCAACTTCTCTACCTAGGTATATAATATACTATTATTTAGGTGGGTCCTGTAAGGAAAGCATCATGAAATAACTTAATACTTATATCGAGGGGTCGACACCTCCTGACAGTAGGTGTACAAATCAGTTCACAGTACCTACAATATCTAAACAATACCATCATAGGTCTGTAAAAACACCATTTATTTTCATAGCAATTGTCACAATACCTAAAATGACTCACAATACTTTCAAAATAGCTCTACATTACTGACAATACTGAAACAATACCAAAAATCTGTCAAAAATACTTAACAGTATCTCTACAGTACACACAATATCCGGCGACAATACTGATAACCCATTGGCAATACTAAAAGAATACGTGTAAATCGGGTTATGAGCATTCAAAAGCGTTGCATCACATGACAGGCCAAGTGGCAGAGAGATGCATTCATTCACAAATTCGCAATAAAATAAGTGAAGTGTCATATTGCATAGTGAAAGAAAATTTTTGAAAATGTACAGTCGTGAGCATAAAAAAGGGACACCGATTTTTCTTATTGTAAAGCTCACTTTTCACGCATCCGTTTTTCCGTCAATCCGTTGATCCGGAAGTATTTTTATTGGTCCAATATTTTGGCGCCAAAATATTGGACTAATGAGAATACTTCCAAATCAACAGATTGACGGAAAAACGGATGCATGAAAAGTAAACTTAAAACGGCCTCACCAGCTACACCGTCGGCAATGACAGGGATTGTCATGTTTGACAAAAAGCCGTTATACAGAAAAGACTCGTTTACCCAAAATAGCGAAAAATTACAAGACCTGTCAGTCGGGTGTCCCACTTTTAATGCTCACGACTTTAAGTAAAATCTGTTTTTTTTTTTAAAGATAAAAGTCAAAATGGCATTATGTTGGCAATACAATGTAAAATTGTCAATGCTTCAAATTTTTTATGTAGAAAAGGCTTATGTTGCCAACATAGTTACCTACTAAATTTTTGACTTGGGGAATTATTAGGTCTGTTTCTGCAGACATCAAAAACCAGTCAGAGTGAATTTCATTAGTTGAAACTAGTTTGCTGACTGTTTCTGACTGTTTTCAACCAATGAAATTTGCTCTGACTGGTTTGTGATTTTTGCAGAAACAGACCTATCTTTAAAAAAAAAAACAGACTCTATTTATAATACCTATACAATAAAGCCCGTTTTACATATTCGTGTATTTTTTCGTGTAGTTACTACAGAAAGAAATACATAAGTGTGATGTATTAGTTGTGATTTGATCGTGTATTTCATTACTACGGTGTTACTACCAACTGCGCAACTGCTAATTCTTAACCTCTCACTTTTTTTTAAAAAATATATTTTTACTGGAATTTGGGGAAAATCGAGAGGAAAATAAATTTATTACTTATAGTTTGTTTCAAGGTTCGTTTTTAAAAAGTGCTTGGATGGAATTTGGAATTGTAGGCGCTGTGGCTTGTTATAGGAAAATTAATAAAAAATGGATGCACGTCATCAAAATGTATGACATTGGCATGTCGCAATGTTGCCGTTTCGTTCGTTTTACTCTGAAATACCATGTCTAGTAAAGTTTGTCATTTTCCCAAGTTACATTTTTATTAATAAATTGACAAGAATCCTAATACCAAAAACCGGAATTCCATTAATACAATTTTTTAGCAAGTATACTTAAATTTTATCCCAACTATCAACCCCCGACTCGTTAAAAACTAAAAATAAAACTCAAATTGTTGAAATCAATGACCGAAAATTTGCGGAAGGCAACATTTGGCAACATTATCTACGAGTGCCAACCTAAATCCCAGTTTATCGGCAGATTCTGTTATAATCATCCGACAGCATTCTATCTCTTTTTAACTAAGGTTAAACAAAAGGGAGAATGTGCTCCGCGTTGAAAACGGATTTTAATTTCTTACAGACTGCAAATGGAAATAATTTCGACGTCATTGATGACGTGCATCCATTATTCTAATAATTTCACTATATAGTTGAACTAAATCCAAGCGGCAGTAATGACACAACTGGTCATTTTCATTACAACCTACCAAATGTCCTCCGCGCATGCGCTCTGGTCCTGGTAGGGCGTTACAAGCAATAGGAAGGCAGGGCTGGGACTCTGTAATGGATAGAGATCGTTATCCCTATCCCTATGGCATTTGCTATCTTCTTCTATCTTTTCGAAATCATTAGAAACGGGGGACGCCAATAGAGTTACAGAAAATATCTGTATTCGTTACAGAGTCCCAGCCCTGGATTCCTAGCTGGTGTTTTTTAACAATTTAAATTTAGGTTATTATTGTCATTACTAGGGGTGGGCAAAATAATCAATTAATCGATTAATAATCGATTAATCGATTAGTCGATTATTTTATTTTCAAATAATCGATAATCGATTAATCGATTAATAATCGATTAATCGATTATTTTCGATTAATCGATTATTTTCGATTAATCGATTAATCGATTATTTTTGATTAATCGATTATTTTCGATTATTCGGTTATTTTCGATTGATCAATTATTTACGATTAATCTATTATTTTTGAGATACATTTATGTTTTGTTTTTGTTTGCATATCTAAGGGCCGGTTTATTCACCTTCTGATAAACTGTTAGGTATGCAATTTCGCGGATAATAACGCAATCTGTAATCCCATTGGTCGGCCAGTTATTGGTCGGCCCTTGGTCGACCGAGACAATAATTATAGAAGGGTAAATTGATCTTGCTAATAGTTGTCAACCAGCAAGTCTATCTGAAGATGAATAAACCGGGCCTCAAACTCCAAAGTAACCAGAGAGTTTATTTCAAAACAAGCCGGTTAAGGGCAAGTCAATTTCTTTTACTTCATGCAACCCAAGAAAAAAATCTACCGATTATTGTGAAATAAGCGAATAATCAAAAATAATCGAATAATCAAAAATAATCGATAGATCGAAAAAAAAACGATTTATCAAAAAAAATTATCGATTTATCGAAAATAATCGATTATTTTCGATTAATCGATTATTTTCGATTAATCGATTATTTTCGATTAATCGATTATTTTCGATTAATCGATTATTTTCGATTAATCGATTATTTTCGATGAATCGATTAATCGATTATTTCCGATTAATCGATTATTTCCGATTAATCGATTATTTCCGATTAATCGATTATTTTCGATTAATCGATTATTTTCGATTAATCGATTAATCGAAAATAATCGATTATTTTTAATAATCGATAATCGATTATTTATTTTGATAATCGCCCAGCCCTAGTCATTACTGCCGCTTGGTTTTAATTTTTGATTTTGGCAAGGAAAGTTAGTAGCACTGAAATTTTCTGTATATTTGCAACAAAAATAACTTGGTTAATCTCGTGAAGAAATTCATGAATAAATACTTATTTTCATACATGTAGAAACACGCGTAAAAATACACGTAAAACGCGAGAAGCGGCTCACTCCCGAAATTGCTGTATGTACAGGGTTATTAGTTATAAATGTCACCCTCCTCTATCTTTTTTATTTGACATTTTAGAAAAAAGTGTCCCAAATATAGAATGTATGGTAGAAATTAAATCTTTTGAAAAACTCACTTTTGCATATACAGGGTGTTTCAAAAACGCTGGTCGTGCTCCAACTTTCTTATTTTAAATTGAATACCCTGTATATTATTCAATATTCGGATTCTACGTCAAATTCTGAGCAGATTTCATGTGATATACCCTATACCTAATTTCAACTGTTTTGGAAATATTGATAGTTGAAAATTAACTTTTTTGTAAATTTGACAGCCTGTAAAACCGATCTTACATTTTTTTCTAAGATTTTCACAAGTTATCATTTGATACCAACTTTGAATTTACCCGAAGATTAAATTTAATTGCAATTTTTAATCATGGATTAAATTCAAATTTGCTGTCAAATATTGGTGTCAACTGATAGTTTATAAAAATCTAAGACAAAAATGTAAGATCGGTTTTGCTCTAAAATTAACCGTTTAGGATTTACAGCCTGTCAAACTTGCCAAAAAGTCAATTTTCACCTGTCAATATTTCCAAAACAGTTGGATTTAGGTATAGGGTATATCACATGAAATCCGCTCAGAATTTTATGTAGGATCCGAATATCTAATAACATACAGGGTATTCTATTTGAAATAAGAAATTTGGAGCACGACCAGATTTTCTGAAACATCCTGTATCTGTGAAAGTGAGTTATCCAAAAAATTTAATTTCAACCATAAAACTTTTAAAATGTGAAATAAAAAAGATAGAGAGGGGTGACATTTATAACCAATAACCCTGTACATACATTTTCATCCGAAATCCCGTGAAATCACTTCGAAATCCTTTGGAAATACCGAAATCCATTCGAAATCGCGAAGAGCGAAATTCTATCCGAAATCCTCACGAAATCCCGAAATCCCAACGAAAATCCTTCAAAAATACCGAAATCCTAACTGAAATCCTTCTGAAATCCCAATTTTAATGAAATCCTCTAAATCTTTAGTGATACAGCGTTGAAATTCGAATAAACGAAAACTTTCGAAATCCCTTAAAAATTGTCGAAGACCCCTGCGATTTCCGAAATCGATGTACAACTTGTGGTGAGTGAGCCGCACCTCGGTAAAACGGGTTTAGGAATTAATAAACGATATACAGGGTGTCAAAAATACCATGATTGGGCCATCTCTAAACGGTAAGAGATACGAGGGCGGTCGAATTAAAAAAAAAGTTCCCATCGTGATTAAAAATATATTTTCGTTGCTGCCAAATCAGTTTCCGCGATACAGGATGCTTTGTAAAAAAAAACAGTTCTAGGTGTTTTTTTACCAAATCACCCTGTATCTCGGAAACTAATAGAAATTTGGCAACAACAAAAATATATTTTTGATAACCATCGGAAATGGCAACTTTTTTTAATTCAACGGCCCTTGTATCTCTTACAGTTTCCGATATACCTACCGATGGTGGCCCATGGTATTCTAAACATCCTATATAATAAGTTATTAGTAGCTTTAGTTAACAAGCGGAAACGTTTCATTTACGGGGTCCGCCATGTAAAACTCCCTAGTTTCATCACATCCGATTAAACAATTGGCATCTTACCAATGCATAGTGCATAAAGCTTAAAAAATATGTACCTAATGAACAAGAGCTGTCAATGAAAATAAACCATCAGTCACAATTTACACTTAACAATAACAAGGATGATTACATTCTCAGTACTAAAATTGGTTCTAAAAATACATAAACAGTACCGACAGTACTTCTACATTAGTAACAGTACTAAAAATTGCTTTACAATACAGGTTAAGTATTGCTGTTTCATCTACAGTACCCGACAGTACCAGTTAAATACTTACAATATGTTAACAATACTTGACAATCCCTACAATACCATACAATACCTAAAATAAAGTGACAATGCCTGACAATACTCTAACAATACTCAACTAGAACGGTTAGTTTACAGTAGGTGTACAAATTTCCAATCAGGTGTTGACCCCTCGACTTATATGCTATTTTGATATAAGTAAAATGCTGTATGGATATGGCACATGTAAAAAACTGAGAATAATAAACAAATACAAATAAATGTACCTATTTGTATTAGATAACACAAGTATCTCAATACCTTGAAAAATACTAACCTCTCAAACATCTGAACACTGGTGCTGCTACTTTGAGGTAACATAGTTTGTACACTGAGCCTTGTAAATTGGACATAACTCTGAAATACCCTTAGCCATTGATGAATATCATTATACATTAGTTCTAGAAGGTTATGACCATCTACATTTCGCCACCAATCAATTGGTTCCTGATAAAAATATTCAATAAGTTTGTGAATGTTATAGAAACCAAGATGTATGTTACCGCATAAGTCTCAATGCCTTCCATTCCTTGGAAATGTTTGATTAATGTTGATTTTCCGGCTCCAATGTTGCCTTCAATAGACACTCGAAAAGGTCTATCTGTTGGGGTTTTAACGTTGGTCAGTTCTTTCATTGGAGAGATACCAACAAAATTCGTTTTTTTCTTAGGAGTACATGTGGGAGAGGCTGCAGGGCGTTTCATGCCGCTTATGGTTGTTATTACACCTTCCATGGTGTTAAGATTGATTGTTGGTTTAGAAAAGCTTGTTTTTCTGGAACTATATTTTTTTAAGCGTCAAGTTTTGTATCATTTTAAATCTGCGTTGATTAGGGTATATTAAATAAAAACTGAACAGTGTACAGTGTGTACTATGGGGCCTCAAATCTAGCTTGTTCTGTTCTAATATGAGTTAGAAACTTGCTGGTGCTTTCTTTGTTTTGCCGACATGCAGGTTGATAAAAACAATGATTAAAATATAACATATTTTTACCTGTACTTGCATATAAGATTTGTAACTGATTTTGAAAGGAACGAAACATGCATTTATAGAAAAATAATATAAAGCCTTGTCCATATCATATCATATCAAAACAAAATCCTTTTGTTTTTTATTTTTAATATTATTCTTTTTTTTTGACGTCTGTGACATTTAACTAGATATCCCGCCAAAAATCTGCCCAGGGACTCCGTGTCAAGTAGAATTCTACATATCGACAGGATTCTATAGACTTGGCACACTGTGCGGCATGCGATTTCGTTCGATATGTCGAATTCATGGCACGGAGTCCCACCACTGCGACAAAAAAAAGTTCTTCCATTTCGTTGAACTTTTCAGTTCAGCTTTCGTCTGGGTTTACAACTATTTAGGTTTATGAAGTTTTCTGGTAAATCTGATTTAAGAATGCTCAATTAACGACAAAAATTTAACGTTTGCGGCTGTTCGGAGTTATCCTTAGCAGTACAAAGGAAAACGCCTTATCTAAACTTGCTCCGCTCCACTATTTTTGATCCGAACCGCTTCTTCAATCATTTCGCCCTTTTCGGTTTTCCGAGCCGGCAGAACGATATGACACGAAGCTAAAATTTATTACATTTAGGAGCTTCCTAAGCAAAGCATCTTCGCCATATTCCTATAAATTTGAAAAGAAATCTCGCAGATTTCTGGGCAAATATCAAGGTTCAGGTTAGGCTGTCTGGGTCGCTTTTCAAGACGCACTTTAAGCACTCCTGAGCTGCTCTAGAGCGCCCTGGAATTTTTATAGGCGTTCCAGTGCATTGAGCCGGAGTCTAGCGTTTTCTGTTGGTAAAACTCGTGCTGTCCGAGTTCTGCACTCAACACTGAATCAGTTCACGTTTAGTGCAATCTCAAAAGAACATGAATTTGGCGCGTTTTGTCATTCTTTTAAAATTTATTATTTAACGATCCCTGATCCCTAACCTAACCTAAAGACATTTTCAATGGAATAAAAATTAAAAACGTTTGTGTGTATGAAAAAGTTGAAAACGGAAGTTTTTCCTGTATGTAAAGTACATAATTATGCTGTCTCCCGAGATGTGCAGAAATAATTCCAATGATACCTGCGTTGAAATTAATTTTTATGTCAATTTCAATAATAAAATTTTGAATTTTTTGTATCTCATTATCCCTGGCAAACATTCAGGCCTATGATGTATTCTGTCCTGTTATTTCAACGTCTGTGTTAAGGCTCAACATCTATTTCTGTCTCTATTTTGATGTTGCTGCTAAAATAACAGAAAATGATACATCATAGGCCTGCGATTGTATATAATATAATAGATCCGATTAAATTTCATTGGTTGAAAACAGTCAGAAACAGTCAGAAAACTAGTTTTAATAGTTAAAACTAGTTTTCTGACTGTTTTCAACCAATGAAATTCACTCTGACTGGTTTGTGATTTCTGCAGAAACAGACCTAATAATTCTTCCTCTTCATCGCTGTCGCTCGACGAAGATAAAAAATATAGAATTTTATCAATATCGATATCCATAATTTTTTCGTTTTGTTTATATACAGACTTTTCGGCACTTTACGCCATTTTTGTTGTGCCCTGACATTGGCACGAGCTCTCTGACCTCGTGCTGGAAAAGTTGCACGAGGGCAATAATTGATTGCCCTGGTTTTCCAATAGAACATAAAAACCCGCTCGGAAACTGCCAACAGAACATAATTTTTGCATGAGTGCAGCACGAGTTTTACCAACAGAAAACGGTATCAGTCTCATGCATCCGTTTTCCGACGTCCGATATCTCAAAAACCTTCTATTCTGACATATTTTCATACGATTACGTCAGAATAGAAAATTTTTTGGACATCGGAAAACGGATGCATGAGAATCCAGCTTTATAGTTTCGCGCAACTGAACTGTTCGTTTTTCCTCTCCCCCCCACGCAACTCAAGCACCTACAATTTTATGGGAGCATCAAAAACACGACGCTTAAAGTAATAAGGTGCGTGCTCCAGTGACACAACAGTTGTTTGGAACACCAGAGTGTGAAACTACTACGGGTGTGAAGCACCTAAAAATTCTTCACTGGAAAGCGGCTCTGGTAATGGGTAACTTGATGACGCATCTCGGGTGCGTTATAAGGATTTGCATTAATTGGGTTGAGTGAGGCACCTCTGTTGACGTCATAGAGGTATAAGGCAATTTACCTCTCTGAAACAGCCTTGGGTAAATATCAATATTCCTAATCCAATAACACACCTCCAAATGGGATTGTTCAACCTAAAGACGTATTCACCAGTCTCGAGCGCGAACTAGCAACTGGTCTGCAGGTGACGTTATATCACTATCAGCGGCTGATAATGGTGACGTCACCCGCAGACCCCGATGGATTGCTATGGATGACTATGAACAAATTTTTTCGTCGATTAACTCCTGTATTGCCTGTATTTCTCTATAATAAATTGAGTGCTATAAGTATTTGGAGTCAAATCCAAGCGGCAGAGTATAAACATTTTTGAATCTTGAAAAGCATTAAATAACCTAAATTGTAAAACAAAACCAGCTGTAATTTCTATTGGTTGGAAACGCCCTACCGGACGCAGTGCATGGCTGTGGCAGTGCGTATATTTTTTTTTTATATAGTGCGCATGCACGGAGGTCATTCGATAGGTTGTAATGCAAATAACCAGTTGTTTACGTTACTGCCGTTTGGATTTGATTCAACTATAGTTGCATATCGTTACATGACCTTTGTAGTAATAACTGTATTCCTTTCATACATCGAATTACAAGTTACACCGAACGTGTCGCTCTAGAGCTCCTCGGAGTCACTCCAAAACACACAATTCAGATATTAGCTGCTTTCAAGTATGGGAGTATGACGCTCGGAGCTACTCGGAGCGCTGAGCTTTCGAGCTGGGGACGGATTCTATAAGCTGAAAGCGAAACAATGACGTTCGTTATGGGACGCTTTGTTCGATTTGCTATTCTGGGCGTGTTTGGGTTGACGCTCGGCGGAGTTCATTGGAGCAGGAGCAGACCGATTACGGAGTATCGTGACGTTACAGGAGTACTCGTGCCAAAGTGCTGGGTTGAGCGATCAGCTAATTATTGTTTATTATTTTTAGGATATATTTTTTGAAGTCTAAACACTCTGAGCCCGCGCCCCGCATTCCGCATTTGCACCAGAGTTTTCTCGTTTGTTTTTTATTTTTTTTAGTCGGTAATTTTCAAACAGCCCCATTTTCTTTTGTGTTCTGCTAAAAATGTCGTGTTACATAAACAATAAAACGGACCTAAACACTCTGAGGCTGCCAAGTTCCCTTGGAAAAATATCTTCAATAATACCAGTGAACCAGTGATGAGGACTATCGAGAAAATTTAATTAAAAGTAAACAATTATGCAGAATTTACTAGCTATTTGATTGTTAACATTTAAACAAAATAGCTAAAACTATCCAGCTAACAAATATATGTTAAAATTCAGGATTGTTTATTTATCTTATCATGGAAAATAGGTTAGGTAAAGCTGTGCAAACCGTGCAAACACAATCGTTGTCGGAGGTTCAAAAATAACGGAAGAGAGACAAAAGTGTAAGCTCTGAGTGCACCGAGCGTGAACCCAAACGCGCCCTCTATGACCCCTTTCGGGAAGAATCGGAGACTCCGATCACAGCTCCGATCACGAAGCCGATTGCAAAGCGAAAGCGATGAATTTTGGCTCGCGTTTTGCTCCGCTTTCCACTGGAAAGCTTCTAGTTTCCATAGTGATTGGAAGGCGATTTCGCCCCAGATTTTCATCTGCTGTTTGGTAAGCGAATGGTTAACCAATTACGGGCCTCGCCACCACCGTATCTATTCAGCGCATGCGCAGATCGTTGCGGATACGGATACGTTTGAAATTCAGGATATGCTTAAAGTGTCTAGTGACGTAGCTCAACAATCTTATCCGAATTCAGTGGATAGGGCGTTTGGTAGTTAAAAAAAGACAGAACACTGTTGGCATTTAACCGAATCGACCGATAAAATGGATTTAGGTTGGCACTCGTGGATTATGTTGCCAAATATTGCTGCAAATCTGCGGTTACTGATTTTAATAATTTGGATTTATTTCTATTTGTGTATCTATAAAATGCCAAAGCCATTGAATAGTCAGAGTCAGAAACTCGTTGCGTCTCTAATTTTAAGTTACTTTGAACAGGAACGAGATAAGGCCCCCTTTTGCCATTAAATAGCGTTAGAGAGGTGAAGTATATTGATACTACTATCAAATATAATTCTTCTGGGGCTTTGATTAGGAATATTTTTCCAGCGTGTTGCAGCTGCACTGAATATTGGTATAACCATACTGTGAGTAAAATCTCTCAAAAAGTTAGAGATAATTTAGCGTTAAATTCACCAAAGAAAAAACGGGTACATTAAGAAGCGGGTTACGAATCAAGATCACCTTGATGTTAGCTCTATTCGCAATCAAATTTACGACATGTATAAAAAAAGTGAGTAGGTGGTTTTTTATATTGTGTTCATAATACACTATCTATACATATAAAAATCGATGTTTGTTTGCTTTAAGTGATAACCAATGAACTATAACCAAAAACTGGAATGGTCATATGTCAGCGAGCAACAGAAAAAACAACATTCCCCTTTGTGGCATCTGTCTTTCATGGCTACATTTTTTTGACAAATACGGCAATAGTTGTATTCCTTTCACACCTAGGAGGAGCTCCAGAACAGCTCCGGGGCTTCACGCGCTTATTCCTTTCGAAAAGTGTTTGTTGCACCACACATATGTTCCCTGCAAATCGGGGGCGACTAAGCACCGAAGCGAGTAGCCCGAGTGCTTCCAAGCTCTTGAAAGCAATACAACCTAATGTGTGCGCATCCCAGTTTTTGACTATAGTTCATTGGTGATAACAAATTTTACTAGACATGGTATGTCAAAGTAAAACGAAAGTTAATAGCTTTGTTCGCGGGTCCGATTCCGAATCGGTTCAGAACTAATTCGGGATTGTCGTAGAGCGCATGCCTAGTTAAGAATCGGTTCAGGATTTCTTTTTACCGCGAACGATTTTGGAACCGAAAACCGAATACTTTTAAACATTATGTGATTTGTGAACCTTGGCTATTTGATTTTCATAAATCAAAAAGAATGAACAGAACAGATATAGGTAATATTTATATTTATTCAAAATT